TATAACGAAGATCACCAGAGTAGGGCATCCTCCTTACAACCATATTCAAGCAAAGGAACCAATAAAACTCACCGGTTCATCCGTAGATGCCGTATATATATACTCTATATCCAAGCCTTTTGATGAGGTATATAGTGATTTGGTTAGGTCTAGTCATATGTGAACCTTTAGGCATGTGCATGTGTATGTCTGTATTTGTGTATTATGAATCAATAGAGTCCTCGAAAACCAACTTTTATTCGCATATACTATGTACATATGGCGCAAATTCGTATGATCTTTTAAGAAACAAGGCTAGTTGAAACTCAATGGCATCATGATAGCTTTTATTCAATGCGTTTTTGAATAATCAGCTATGATTCAACAAACTCAACTAAAGCAACCGCAGCTAAATCAAATTATTTGAGGCTTTGATAAACTGATTTCATACAGAAATATTCAACGTTTCTGCAAGTAATTTCAGAAACCGCATTAGTGGCAAATCGGCCAGTCTAGTTTCTACTGACTGAAATTCATCCTGGATCAGCCGATCTGTCTTCACAGAGTAGTACAGCCCTGTATTCACGCAAAGGCAAAGGACACTCTTCATATCGAAAGAGGCTCGGATGCAAATACATTTACATCTCCACTTACAGACTGAGCAAAGAGTAACAATGTGATTTTCATCGTTGTCCACCTTTAACCTCAAAGTGGCACACTAAACTCGCTGGTCAGCAGGAAACGTATGTCACTTATGGCCCCATTCATTCGATTTACACAGGTTGCTTTCAGCAAAATATGGCCATTATTTCTGTCGTCATAGCGGCACACGCTAAATCGATTTTGGGCATGAACAGTGAATATGAGCGGGCACTTCTCCCTTGTGAGAGATTAGTTTGCTTTTCTTGGAATGCGAAACACATTGCCCAAATGGGCTTGACTACCGAAGCAATTTCCGTTTTTTGGTGCTTTTTCTGCCTTAACTAGACATTGAAACCCATCTTAATCATGAAGCAGGAGGGTGGGGAAATTTTGGAGCTTCCTCGACGGCTCCGGCTCTCTCGATCGGTCAGACTCGTCATCATTTTGACGATTTCCCACTAGCATCGAACTGGCACGAGTTCGGCCAGTCTGGCCGAAAATATTGCCTCCATGGCTCACTCTTCTGTACCAGATGCTTCTGACGTTTCCGAGCACTGAGGCCTCCTTAGCGGCGTTATCAACTATCCTGCTGCAGAGTTGGTGACATGTGATGCTCCTGCTGCCACGTGGGTGATTTATAGGTGTTCTTTAAAGTTTCCGGTAACCCCCGGTCGCATTCGAGAGGTTGACAGAGCAAAGGGAAGACGAAAGCTGTCTGTTAAAGGAAACAAATGAAATATAAGAGGTTGCCTATAAAAGCGACTGCAAAAAGCTAGAGCTGTGTTCGCCTGCGAGTGCACACAGTGGGAAAATGTGTGATAGTCCT